GGCCAACCCTGCTTAATTAGCGAGTTCATCACGCCTGCGTCTACGGTTCGCAACCTCGGCATTCAGCTGGACTCGGAACTCCTTTCTATGAGCATTTGTTCCGAGTCCAGCGGTGAGCGGTGAGCAAAGCCATCACCGCTTGTTTTGGCGCTCTGTGATGAATCCGTAGCGATAGTCGCTGTTTCTCGAGGCCCTCGTGGTGGCGCTCGTTCTGTCCAGATTGGACTAGGGTTATGCAACACTCTATGGACTTCCGACCGCGCACTTAATAAACTGCAATCCGTAATGAACTTTGCTGCTAGACTAGTGTGTAATAAGTATCCTTAGTATTTGTTTAGGACGTAGCAGTCCCAGGCCACGATGGATTGCCGCCTCTGATTATCGCGCATCAACCCCCCGCATGGCCAGCTGATGCACGATGCTGTTGCTCGCTTCTCGCTGTCGGTAGTGGTGCAGAGGCGGTTGATGAGAGATTTTGCCCAGAAATATGTCCAGTCGTCTGTTGAAGGTCTTTCAAGAGACGTATTGATTTCTTTCGGCCGAAATTGATATCTGACTGCAGATCTATTACGTAGTGGGGGAATCCTGCAGTCTCCCTCTTCTCTCGTTATGGTATGTCACAAACCTGAAGGTCTTGCTTTCGAAGTTTGGTGTCATTCTTGTTATCATTTTCCATGTGATGCGAATGAGGAAGAGGATCGGGCCGAGTACCGTTCCCTGTCATACTCCACTCTTCGCCCTAGCCTCGCTCGATCTCGAGCCTCCAACAACGACAGCTTATAGCCTTTCTGTTAGGAAACTTTGTATCCGTGCCAACAATTCACCATCGAACCTCGGTAGTCTTAATTTTCTGAAGAAAACTCCATGGTCAACTATGTTAACACTTTCGCGAAATCAAAATACACCACATCCACCCCGGCCCCTCCTACAGCACGGCAAAGATTTGGTGGTGATGTTCCAGTAACTGAGACAAACAGGAGCGATTTCGTCTAAAACCGCGTTGCCTTCTGTTGAAAGGTCAGCTTCCTGCAGCACCACCCTTATGGCAACCACCATCTCAAATACTTTTATTACGTGTGATGTTACGTAACGGCCGGTTACGTAACCGGCCGGTTATTACGGCCGGTTACGTGTGTGTAACCGGCCTGTAGTTTTGGGGTTGATCTCTCTCACCTCCTTTGTAGTTTGGGAAGATCAAATGGATTATAAGCCTTAATTTTAGGTAACTAGGAACGTTTCCTTCTCTCAATGCTGTTGTCCAGAGTGAAGTCAGAGGGACCTTTAGTGCACCGACACATTTTTCAGTAACACACCATGGTTTATTCTCTGGCCCGGGGGCCGAACAAGTCGATAATTCTTGGATACTCCTCTCTAGATCCGCTGTTTCAAACTCAATGTTCATCAGCTCCCGCCCTCCAGGTGGGTCTTGAATGTCTCCAATTTCGTTCTCCTGTCTTGACTATCTGGGTTTGCTGAATACTTTCTCAAACTGCGCTCCCAGTAGTTCGCACATGCCCTGGTCGTCTCTAACACGGACATCGTTATATTTCAGAGGCCCCACGGAGGCTTTGATTGTATGTAATTAAGAGTAATCTGAAATGTACGTAATCACGTGACATGCGTAAGATTATGTGTACTCTGATGTGTACAATAGCTCATAACCGTGCTACTGTACATATAACCGTGCTACTGTACACATAACCGTGCTACTGTACGCATGACCGTGCTACTGAACACATTACTGTGTTAATGCACACATAACAGTGCTACTGTACACATAACCGTGCTACTGTACACATTTTAGTGCTACTGTACACATAACAGTGCTGCTGTACACATAACCATGCTACTGTACACACGACTGTGCTACTGGACACATAACTGAGCTACTGTACACATAACTGTGCTACTGGACACATAACTGAGCTACTGTACACATAACAGTGCTACTGTACACATAACTGTGCTACTGTACACATATCCGTACTACTGTACACATAACTGTGCCACTGTACACATAACCGTGTTGCTGTACACATGACCGTGCTGCTGTACACATAACCGTGCTGCTGTACACATAACTGTGCTGCTGTACACATAACCGTGCTGCTGTACACATAACTGTGCTGCTGTACACATAACTGTGCTGCTGTACACATAACCGTGCTGCTGTACACATAACTGTGCTGCTGTACACATAACAGTGCTACTGTACACATAACAGTGCTGCTGTACACATAACAGTGCTACTGTACGCATAACAGTGCTGCTGTACACATAACCGTGCTACTGTACACATGACTGTGCTACTGGACACATAACTGAGCTGCTGTACACATGAGCGTGCTACTGTACACATAACAGTGCTGCTGTACACATAACCGTGCTACTGTACACATAACCGTGCTACTGTACACAAGATTCAGACATATCACAACGAGAGAAGGGGGAGACTGCAAGATCCCCCCTTAGTATCCTTAGTATAATTTTGAGGTTTGTCTCTTGCGCCTCCTTTGTAGATAGGGGTAATTAGCCCTAATTTAAGGTCACTTGGGACATTTCCTTCTCTCAATGATGTTTTCCAGAGCAAAGTCAGAGGGACCTTTAGTGCACCGACACATCTTTTCAGTAATACTGCAGGGACCCCATCCGGCCCGGGAGCCGAATACGTAGATAATTCATGGACTGTCTCTTATACACATCTAGATGTGTATAAGAGACAGGTGCTGCTGTACACATAACCGTGCTGCTGTACACATAACCGTGCTGCTGTACACATAACTGTGCTGCTGTACACATAACTGTGCTGCTGTACACATAACCGTGTTCAGCATATGATGCTGAATAAATTTAATGCATTAATATAAATTTTGGAATATGAACATTTTTTTATCATGATCTTAGTCGTCAGTTGAAGTTATTTAATGAAAGTGCTGCGCTGTATGAAAAACGTTATAAATTTATTTATTTACTTATTTGAAGGATTGTAAGAATGGTGGTAGGAATAATTAAACTATGTATACCGTAAGAAGTCATTTTTATATTAGTGAACATTTTAACTTTGCAGGCTTGTAAAGGAATTTATCAGTTGTATTAAAATTGTAAGTATTTCGAATGGCAGAAACCTGCTTTGTTTGCATTGATAAAAATCAGATGGTAAAAAAGTTTCAGCCAAGTTTTTACCATGTTCGTCTAACACCTCGAGGAGAAATGATAAAATAAAGAAAACATTTTATCTCTTCCTGAATCAAATTGAATTTCATTTGGGAAATTTATGGTGTTAACGCAAGATAATACGTGAACAGATCAAAAACTGAATATATCAAGAAAGGTATACTTAACTTCTACCAGACATTCTAATGGTCTGAATACCTACTTGTCAGATTGATGAGTTGCACAAGTTTAAGATTAAGCATAACTTTGTTGATATTTAAGCCTGAACAATCTGACGCAGCTAGTTATCACTGAAAAAATCGTTTCCATGTTATCAAATATACCAAGGTAAACAGAAATGAACGGAATATCTAGAGTTGTCACGAAGGGAGTCTCTTCAACCTTTATATCTCAAATTTTATTTATTTGAAAGCATTATAAACAGATTATTAACTGAAAGTCACTTAATATGTTTCATTCTATTAATATAAAACCATTTATTGCAAGAAAGGGTATTATAGATTATATTCTAAAGCAGATTATTATATACTGCGAGTCGATGATCGCAAGGTTTTAAATTGAAGATATGTTACGCGAGCACTGGCTTTCTGTTGTAAATATTGTATTGTAAATAGCAGCCATTTTCCAGCGTTTTTTGCCAGTTTATTATGGCCAAAAAAGAGCCGTTGGTTAGGCAGGCCCATGTTTATTTGCTTAGAAACTGGCTTATGTTCTTAGCGCGAGGTGTGACAAGCCATTGCACAGGAAATACAGATGATTCATATGCACATGCACACGCACTCGAATGCACGTGCATTTCTGTACAAGAGCATTGCATGCAGCATGAGTGTGAACATAAACACGCTTGTAATGCGAGTATCTTTGTTGTGGGCAGGGTGGCCCAGTGGCTAAAGTTCAGAGCACCAAGATTGACGCACTACCCAGTTAAAATTTTGGGCAGGGAATAGAGCAGGCCGTCGCCGGCTGCAGAGCCGACGTAGAGACGCGACAGAGCAGCGATAGAGCAGAAATGTCCGCTTTAGAGACGATATCGCCAGCCGCGTATCAGCGCTAATTAGCTTCTGAGTACCTGCCCAGGTGTGCTCTGTCCTGCCGTCACGCAGCCCTTACTGAGCACCGCCTGCTCAAACCTGCCCAACGCCTGCTCTGGGGCGGCTCTGGCACTGTCTCTTATACACATCTAGATGTGTATAAGAGACAGGTCTTAGATAGGTCAGCCACGCAAGTTCGTGGCTCAAGTCCATCAGTTTGAGAGTTCTTTTTCTTCGTACGTCCACACGCATGCTTACAATTGTTATTTAAAAATAAAAAAATACTGATTATCAAAGCTGATGTTACGCTTATGGACTAGAACTGTGAACAAACAAGAGCAATGGCTCTTTAAAATTTTCATAGGGTTCACCAGCAAAAAATATACATACCAATATTACGAAATTGAATGAGTTCGATAGTAAACACGAGGAGAATATGAAAAAGTTGACACCGAATGTAATGAAAAACACGATTGAGCCCTGCGCCACCGATTGATCGATAGCATCTTCAGAGACCAAGGGCCAAAATCATACACAGTATACAGTATATACTTATTCGTAAACCACGCTTGCAGATCTAACCGAAGTAATGTTTTCAATTAAGTTTATAAAATTGGATAAACTTATATACATTAAAATATTATGGCGTTCATGCAGAACGGATAACATATGCATTTTAATTTTGTTAACCTATCCCTGAGTTTCGTCTCAGCCGTAAAGCATTTTTGAAGAGCTGTTCGCGCGGGTCAAAGAAATCTGAGTAGTGAATGATTCTGATAAATGAAATAATCCATCCTAGAGACGCCCCTCCTCGAGATTTTCTGAAATCAACGAAGCCTTGGAAGAAGTTCGAGAGCCACTTGATATCATCGCACTAGGGGCTGATAAGACTTGGTCGAGGTTCTGATCGTTCAAGATGTCGTTCTTCGACATGGCTGCCTTGGACCGTTCACGGTATTTTCCACAAGAAAACATGATGCCGCCGGTGGTGTTCATCACAAGACCTGTGTAACAAAATATATGGCTCGTTGATGTGGTTCATGAGTAAACATAATGTTAATATCAATCGAACCATGAATTCTAACAGACGCCTCACATCTCAAGCGCGATGAGGTTGCAAGAAATTTTGTTGATCAACAATTCGCTGCATATAATTATCTCTGTAATAAATGTTAATTAAAGGTCTGTGTGAAGAATGTGAATTCTCAAGACTGATTCGGAACCGAAGCGTGCGCAGATTAGAGAAAAAAGTCAGATTTGCAACACGACAAGATATGCCGGAAGTATACTGATATCTTTACAACAAAATTAAAATCAACAAAGCGGGAAGCGGCTGATTCACAGTTTGAATCAAATTTAATTCAATAATTGCGAGAAAAATTTAATAAGAATGGCTCTTTTAATAAGAATGGCCCCTTTAAAAAATTTATTAAGAATGGCCAAACTTTGATCAATAAAGGAATTGGTCAAAGTTTAGAGAACCAAGTTCAGAAAAGCGATTTGCTGTTCAATCCTTGCCTACTATGAAAGTTCTGGGCAAATTAGTAAGGTGACCAAGCTCATGTTTGCAGCAGTGAGTTGCTGGTTTGAAACCTCAGCAAGCTGTACGAATTCTTCTATATTTGGAATCGGCGACAGGCCAAATTTGGCCTCGTCAACCAACGCAGGCACCACTATACTGGACTATACAAAATACTATGCATGACATAATCTTTAAAACTACGTAGAGATGCCTGCTCCATCACTGCTCTTCCGATGGTTTCAGCCTACAAGAATTGTGTACGGCTTAAACATTGCTTTAATTTTTCACATATTTTATCAGGTTTCAGGCATGATCTAGAGTGTACGTCAATCGGACAATACGTGACTATCTTCATTAAAAGAGCTAGGATGAACAACTCCTTTGAGAATAAAAGTTTAATGGGTAAAAAAATCAGCTTTGTAGGAATTTTACTCCAATAACCACATAATTTCCACAGCAACAATGCGGATTGACGCAATCAACAAAATTTTTTGAAATTTGTGTTTATGAATATTCATGGAAAATAAAAAATGACTTACAAACAGAGTAATACGAGAGAACTTCGACTGGAACGAAGAAGGGGCAATGAAAATGCAATAGAAATGAATAATATACAGATAAACTGCAATTGAAACGGTAAAGGAATTGGTGAACGGAAATAAATTACAAAACATGAATATATTTAAATAGCGTATACTTTTCTCCGTATACTAATGTATTGTGTTTATTCGGTCAATTCCTTCATAAACAGACTAAAATATGAAGATTATGTCTATTCAAAACATCAAGACTGTTCCGAATCGACAGACAGCGACAAGAAAAGCTCGGATCGCATCACCTTGCATCGTGAAAATTTCGTTCACGTTGAGAATGAATGAGTTGTGCCACCAAATTATTTATCTATTACTGCAGATTTTTCGTAGCTTCTGGTAACATTACTGTTGTATCAGTTCGTGAGAGGTCTTTTTGTTACTGTATGGAGAACAGGGATTAAGGCATCAACATACCGCAATATTAAATGAGATTAGGTAGTTTGTTATTTCATTATTTTCCAGCACAAAATTTTTGCCAGAAGAATACTCAATTTTGACCATTGAGGACGAATATTAACGTTATTTGATGTACGTAAGTCACTTCATGTACCTGACGAACGTTATCACAACACCTTTCCAGTAGGGGTTACTGAGAGCCTTATAAGGCTCGCCGACGGCCAAACTCAGGACGACGGCGGGCAGTAGGACGTTGTGGGAGTTGAGCTGCAGGATGCGCGACGGCGACAGCTTCTCTTGCTCGGTGTGGTACTGCACCAGACTGTTGGCGAGGGCTTGGGCTAACGCGCTCAGTAGGCCAAAAAGGTAGGCGAATGTATCGTACGTCAGGTCACCGGCACCTGCCAAAACGCGAAGATTATCAGAGAACGTACGATACGACGATTATCAGAGCGTATCATACGTTGGCCACGACGCAGCATGCTGTGATGAGGAAGATGGAGGATGCGATGAGACAGGATTTTGAGACAGGAAGATGAGACAGGATAATGTGACAGGATGTCTGTACAGACCCACCTGCCACGACGCAGCCAGCTGTGATGAGGAAGATGGAGGATGTGATGAGGCAGGAAGGGAAGCCCTTCTTCAACATCACCACCGTGAGCAGCAGGGTGATGATTGGGATAAAGCGCCGCAGGGCGCCGTACATCGGGATGTTCAAACCTGCCCAGACAATATAAAATATAAAACATGAACCGAAAATCGGAATATTTACGGAAGAGTTTAAAACCTAAGCAGGAATAAATTTTTAATTATATAACATAACATGCATTACCCTAGCAGCTTAGCCCAGGGCTCGATAAGTAAATGAATTTTTGAATCAAGTTATCAAGCAACCCATCACTCCTGCAGTTGTATCATGTGATGTGATGGTGGTGGTTGTGTCATGTGATGTGATGGTGGTGGTTGTGTCATGTCAAGTGATGGTGGTGGTTGTGTCATGTCAAGTGATGGTGGTGGTTGTGTCATGTCATGTGATGGTGGTGGTTGTGTCATGTCATGTGATGGTGGTGGTTGTGTCATGTCAAGTGATGGTGCTGCTTGCATCAAGTTCACCTTCACAATTGGTACAAAATTTATACGCAAATAAGTGACCTGCGATGGCGTAGAAGGAGAAGACGCCGTGCATGACGTAGCACAGCGACGGCCACTTGAAGGCCCATCCGGCGGCCAGCGTGTAGGGCGGCAGGCTGACCACCTCGCACATGGACAGCGTCCACAGCGAGGTGACCATCAGCGCCATCTGCGCAGTCCAAGGAATTTGAGGGAGTGCAGAACATATATGTTAACAACATCAAGAGCGAATGATTGGTATGGTAAATCCAACTGTGAGTTCAGCGCTCAACTAATATGAATTTGATATCAAAGCGTATCACATTGTAAGAGCGCACAACATGGGTAATGTTTACTGTAAGAACCATCATCCCTAACAAAAATAGCGTAATGTCTAGGTTTTTGCCCAGTAGTCGCTACACCCGGCCTGAAGTTGTTCTAGGATGCTCCCTCTTCGAAATAAGAGTACTACAAGTGTGTCCTGTGAGTATGACAAGTGCGTCCTGAGAGTATGACAAGTGTGTCCTGAGAGTATGACAAGTGTGTTCTGAGAGTATGACAAGTACGGCAGTGGTACCGTTGAATAGCTCAGAATGTCAGCTTTAAGATGGGACTAAACGAGCAACTAAATCGTAACTCAATCAGACACTATATTTAAAATGCTCAGCAGCTAATTACTTTGTATCTAATTAGTGAAAGATCTCCCCCACCCGCCCCCCTTTAAAGAGCCGTCATGAACGTATAAATTAACGTACAGAGATCGCAGTGGTACCATTGGATAGGGCAGAATGTCAGCTTTAAGATGAGACTAAAAACCGAAAATGCCAAATCCGGTTTTTACGGAAAATTTTACGGTAGACCTCCCCCTAATTAACGTTGCAACAACAGTTACACGGCAGCACCAAAGAGATATGGCAACATCACAAGACATACTGTATGACGTTAAAATAACGCGATTAAACGTTGTTTAAACGAAATCAACTCGTAATCAATGTTGTTTCAACGTCTCTTGGTAGCAGGGTAATGATCCATATGCCATGATCCATAGGTTGTTATATAGGGTTTTAATTGGATACATATTTTTGAAATTTTAGGTTTAGAGACAACCTCGCTGTTCACGTCCGCACTCTAGGAACGCTGCACTTGTTTTTATTTTGTGCTGAGATGTGACGGAGGTACTTGCCTTGTTCTTGTGAATGATTTTTAAGTGTGACTATCGTGTGTAAATATTATTATCAATAGATTTGCTTAGAATACTGTTTTAATATAATTTTTTATTGAATATATTTTATCATTCTTAGCACCCTAGTGATCTTTAGCATTTTATTTAATAGTTTTTTGTTTAAATTTTCAGGAAGGTTTAGGACTTGAACTTGAAATATTAGATATGGAATACAAGTCGACTTTAAATTCCTCTCGAAACGCGAAGTTTGTCGGGTTTGAATTACGATAATGAGCCGCATTGAAACGTTGATGCTTGGGCCTAGTATGTCATGATCCATATGTCATTATCCATATGTCATGATCCATATGTCATGATCCATATGTCATTTGGTACGCGTTGAATAGCTCTGAATGTCAGCTTTGAGATGAGACTAAAGGAGCAACTAAAGCGCAACTCAATCAGACACTATATTTAAAATGCTCTGCAGCTAATTACTTTGTATCTAATTAGTGAAGGAACTCCCCCACCCGCCCCCCTTTAAAGAGCCGTCATGAACGTATAAATTAAATCACAGAGATCGCAGTGGTACCATTGGATAGGGCAGAATGTCAGCTTTAAGATGAGACTAAAAACCGAAAATGCCAAATCCGAAAATTTTACGGTAGACCTCCCCCTAATTAACGTTGCAACAACAGTTACACGGCAGCACCAAAGAGATATGGCAGCATCACAAGACATATGACGTTAAAATAACGCGATTAAACGTTGTTTAAACGAAATCAACTCGTAATCAATGTTGTTTCAACGTCTCTTGGTATAGGGTTTTAATTGGGTACATATTTTTGAAATTTTAGGTTTAGAGACAACCTCGCTGTTCACGTCCGCACTCTAGAACGCTGCACTTGTTATTGTTTTGTGCCGAGATGTGACGGAGGTACTTGCCTTGTACTTGTGAATGATTTTTAAGTGTGACTATCGTGTGTAAATATTATTATCAATAGATTTACTTAGAATACTGTTTTAATATAATTTTTTATTGAATATTCATGATCCATATGTCATGATCCATATGTCATGATCCATATGTCATGGTCCATATGCCATTATCCATATGTCATGATCATATGTCATGATCCAAATGTCATGATCCATATGCCATTATCCATATGCCATTATCCATATGTCATGATCCATATGTCATGATCCACATGTCCTGAAGCATGATTCTACAGCTGTGAAGCTATCAATTATGCTTATGCTTTTAATTATTATTATGCTTTGAATAACAAAATTGGACAAAACAAACAAAATTGAATAACAGACGTTATACACTATATGAAGTTGGCAGGTTGGAGTCTAACGCACCTGCATAGTCATGATAAGGAAGGGCAGGTTGAAGTTGAAGCTAAAAACCACGGCCTTGTTGATGAACGTTATTGTCAAGGACGTTACGAAGAAGAACAGCACCGCCATCAACTCCCGCCGCCTCCCGCCACCGGTGCCGCCACCAGCCCCACCATCCACAGGAGTTCTTCAAGAAAGAGATTCATAATCACACGCTCAGCACAATTTATTATTCATATTTTAATTATTGTAATTCTGTAGTGATTAATTATTGTAATTCTGTAGTGATTCCGGCGGGTGAAGTCCTGTACAATCAGTACTTCAAGGTTACGTCGCATCTCGAGGAAACTGAGATAAAACTGAGATAAAAATAAAACTGAGATAATCCTAAACTAAAAATAAAAATAACGGCAGGAAAAAGAGGTAAAAACGAGAACAATCGGAGACCCTAAAAGAAATCTTTAGGTCTTGAGGCGATGCAGATACACCGGCCCAAAGGAGCTGATGTTGCAGAAGCTAGCAGACTGAGAGAAATGAATGCGTGTCAGATTGTCAGTCTCCAAGCCAATATTTAGCCAAATCTCCTGGTGGCAGAGTGTATAAAATCACCAAGATTGCTGCAGCAAATTGAGGGCTCGATACCCGCAACTGGTCGTGAAAATTCTGGTCGAAATAAGCTAGGTGTTCGGATGGTTACGAACAGAATACGGCCAACAGGGCCTTCAGTGTCTTATGAATCTCAATCGCATTTGATTCTATATATTTTACGAGAGATACTGCTGCTTTATTACCAATCAATGTGGCCCAAGCGCTTTTCAACATTTATCTAATATATTAGATGTATGCACGATGCAGAGGATATATAACAAACCCACTATAACACACGCGAGTGCAATGAAATTATTTTCCCTCGCCCCTACACTTGTTTCTTCGGTGAGAAGTGGTTATTCGTCATTATAACCAGTGTTTAGCTGCTAACAAAACAGGCGTCCAGCTGTTAATAAAACGGTCGTCCGGCTGTTATTACCACATGCGTCCAGCTTTTAATAATACTGGCGTCCAGCAGTTAATAAATCAGGCATTCAGCTTTTAATAAAATAGGCGTCTAGCTGTTGATAAACAGGCGATTAGCAGTTAATAAAACAGGAGTCCAGCTGGTAATAAAACAGGCGTACAGCTGTTGATATAACAGGCGTTCAGCTGTCACCACAGTCAAACGCTGTGCCAACAACAGGCTGCAGATGCTGTTGCTACAAAGAAGCCATTAGGCAAATGAATGAAAATTGTTTGTCGTTGACCAGAAAGTCTTTATCCAACGGAGGCGACCAACATACACATAGGCAAGTAAGTATACACTCAAAGAAATTATTGCGATTTTATCCTAATAGCGATGCACTTTCTGTACTTGTGTGGGTCATCTTGACCCAGTTATCAGTGCTGTGTCCGTTCTTTGCACCCTCGTGCCGTGTAAGGGAAAGTTTGCCACTAGTTGGACAGTATGACATAAATATTTTTCAGAGTGCAAGTTGAGCTCTACGTTATTTGCGTTGCCAACAATAGGACCGTTATGCCTGGCCGCGAATGTTCATCAATCCCCATGATGAGTTCAGACTGTTGGGGTAGATGCTATAAATCAAGATAAAATTAATTATAAGTTTCTCTTGTACAAATCGAGTTCATACCATTAATTCGGAAGTGTGCCATTACCCGGGAACTTGATGTCGTTATGGCAGGGCAGAGAAGTTTTTTAATTTACAGACGTTTCAATTAATCACGTATATGTCAATAAACCAGTGGGCAGACACCTCTTCATGCGAGACGTTTCATCACTATAGCAATTCATCATTAAATTTCATCATTGCATTTTTGCAACGATGAATTGGTTAGGTTAGGTAGGTTAGATTAGATTAGGTAGGTTAGGTAGGTTAGATTAGATTAGGTAGATTAGGGTAGATTAGGTAAGTTAAGTAGATTAGGTTAGGTTGGGTTAGGTTAGGTTAGGTTATATTGGGTAAGGTTAGATTGGGTTAGTTATGGTCAGGTCAGGTTAGGCAGGTTAGGTTAAGTTAGGTTAGTTTTGGTCAGATCTGGCTAGGTAAGGTCAGGTCACATCAGGTCAGGTCACGTATGGTCAGGTGAGGTAAAAAAGACCTCAATGCAGTTGAAATGATGAGGTAGCAGAGAAACCAATTTAAAAGGCGTATTGAAATTTTTACATGATAGGAGATTCATCCTATATTATTGATTCCAGTCCGAGCAGGTAAGAACCGTAGTTTTTTCCGACAAAAGATATAAGCAGTTATTGATGCATACGTATTTAATCTATTTATAGTTATTTACAAGGATCATGTTGAGCTTGACTCGAGAAAAATATGCCATGTGACTTTGTGAAAACTATTAGATTTAATGTCAGGGTGAGCGGTCGAGCGACCAAGTGCACCAAGATGGGAGCGTGAGAAGTGGGAGCGCGACTCAGCAAGTTCGTCGGGAGCGCACCACGTCGCGTGCATGCGGTGTGGTTTTTGACTGTAAAATGCGTGGACTTCGAAGTGCTGTCGTGAACTCAGTTTAGTATAAAACTCTACTACGCTCACTACTCAAGTTGTTCTACTGCAATCCCAATTTGTGTTTGTTACTGAACGCCGCTTATTCTTATCAGCATTTAATGCGTACTTCTTGAGTTAAACTTGTATCGTTAAGTGTAAGTACTTGTGTCGTTAGTCTGCCTGAGTCGCAAGTTCACAAGAATTTGAAAGTAAATTTATGAATTTCCAAAGGTAATCTTCTTGTTAGATTTTAATCTCCTTTGTATATATTGTGATTTTCACTACTAATTATTTATTGAGCACATTATTTCTCAACAAGTAAATAATTTTTCGTGAAAGATGTGTATTTTTCATTTGTTCCAGACAGCAATCAAGGACTGGTATAATATTTCAAAATTCTACCCAGTGAAAGAAAAAAATTTCACAATCGAAAAGTTCTGAGTTCTAACCCGTACCAGCTGCTGCTACGGTTATTAGTTCAAGTTCAGGATCTGCGTTATCAAGTAAACATGATATGAGATAATATTATCTAAATACACGTAACATGTGCAAAAAGAGTGGTACGGCATCATCGAACGAAAAAACAAATATTAATTATTATTATTATTTAATACATTTCTCTATTTTATGTGAACCCGTGTCGCCCTTTGCTGATCTTTGAATAAATATATTTTTTATCATATGTAATCTTGTGATCGATTTCTCAATTAATGAATTTGCAGTTGTTATTAAAATAAAAATGCGGCCTGTAACTTCATTGTTCTTGGTGAAAGGAATCACGACTTTCATTTTGACGTAGATTGTAAGGTGATTCATTCAAAACACGGATGCCTTTTAATTTAACATGATTATGGGGGTAATAGAACTTCTCCAAGCACCATTTCAGCAAAGTTTCAAAGAGAAAACAGCTAAAGAAATGTGAATGTTGAATGAAGGGTAAAGTAAATTTGTGTTAAGAAACATGTGTAATGTATTTTAGTGATGAACAAAAGTTTTCAGCAAATTTGACCAAAAAAACAAAACCAGCAAAATTACTTACGCCATGTTGGAGACGCGGATTTCCAGCCCCGCTAGAGTAAAGCGTCACCAGTGCCTGGCTTCAACCACTTATATTCCATAAAATTTTGACATTTCTCTTAAAATTTTTCAGGTAAAATAAATAATATAAATCAATAAAGGCGATTGCATTACAACGCAGTACATATATTTTGGACTGGGACTGCTAAGATTGCTTGTCAGCGATGGTTACAACCATCACAAAGTAGCATAGCATAGTTATATCGTCGCTGAAGAATAGGCCTGATGTGGGCCTATTCTTGTACTTTTTGTGACTTGTCCACATGAGATCTAAAAAACAGGTCCTTTGACCGGATCTTTTCTAAACTGTCGATAGTTTGAAACAGCATCTAGACTTCCACCGGGTTCGGTATGGTGCCAGGCATTTTATTGTCGCAGCGAGTCTTTATATTCCAGTTTTCGCTGGTCAGTTTGCAAAGAAATTTATTTACAGACACCGGTGGCGTTTGAACAATAGATTATGATTAGACGGGAATATGACTTTAGGTAAAGACTAAAATCCAGCTTATGAAACGCATAGAATTTACTGAAAATATAATAAGATTTCAGTTCAGTTTTCCTATTGTTTTTATCACAGACGCTGCCTGCATTCAGCGGTACGGAGGTGATGGTCGGCTCATGATTCCAGATCAACACAGAATGCATTTCGTAAAACATCAATAATAAGTAAAATACAAATTAAAACTATTTCTTTTACATTTCATAACTTTAATTGCATCATAATTAGAATAGAAGACAGTTAATTAGTTCACACAAATCCCGCCGAACGTGTCCAATCAAACGATATTAAAAGCGACGTGGAGTTAATATGGAAAATCTCCCATCTGACTTCGGGAACGTGTGATGATAGGATCTGCAGCATCATTAGGAAAGATCATTAACATATGAAACGCTACGCGTGCTGAAGATGAAATGCTTGAAATGATGCTTAGACTTCTGCTTATATCTAATGTTTAGTTACGATGTAAACCTCGGGCTGTACGATGTTTATAAAAAATACAACTGTACTATTAGAAGGCAGCAATACAAGGCAGGAAATTTGATATAGTAATTTTTAAATTATATACATTCGAAATAAATATAATTTATATATCATTTAAGGAATTAATGTTAGTATTTTTGATTGATGATTTACTCATATTGGAATATTTTAGCATTAATATGTTTTCGAAATTCTTTGGTAATAAGCTCGGTAGAAGTTGCAATGCTGCTCCATTCGTATTTTAAACAAATCCCAAAATAATTACTTTATTGGATTAGTTATAATATTTTACTATCGAGATTGATTTGTCTGGTGAAAATGACCAAATCAACGAGAGCAGCATAACCTAACAGCACTGCTTGACTTTTCTTTTGTTTATCCTAAATAAGTTTAATGACAGGCACATTTGTTCACTTTGATATCAAAACTATAGCACACAAAAGTTATTCACGCGCTAGATGTCGCACCCACTGAGGCTTGAGTGTTAGTGAAACAAACTAAAGTGTGCACTTCACTCGCTCCAGCTAATACTCTTCAAGTGTTCGTGTTATGATTAATGAAAATGAATGAGGAAAGCTTCGTACACTTGGATAAATATTTTGGACTGAACTGCTATGTGTGACATGATGTAATTAATATTCCAAGAATATCATCACCACATACTCGTAAATACTGGCTCGGTATCAACGCAACGGTTGATCAATGCACTGAAGTGAATTAATTTTAAGCGGGATATAACCAATTTATTTGCGTCGTTTAGTAAAGCATATAAAATAAATCTCAGCTCGAGTCTAAAGGACGAAATCGACGAATTTACGGAAGCTCTTGTGTACTTCGTTTGACTTTTAAAGACTCAAAAATGGTCTTTGAAAATTCATTGTTTTACAGCACACAAACTTGAACAATTTTCGCTTCAAAATTTTCTGCTTTGAGAAATGCTATTTTCATAGGCTTTTCCCAAGACTGAGCTCTATAATAGTTTTATTTCAGATGATGTAGCTCAGTTGATGTAGACATTTATGGCATCAGCGATGCATAATATACAAACGAAAATCAGCTTCTTCGCAATAGCAGTGCAGGTATCAATTTGATTAGTTAACTAATATACGAGTATATAAATGGTATATTTAAACTGTTGCACATATTGCTTTATTTATTTAACTAATAATTCATAGGAAAAATATTGCATGGAATTCAATTTACTGTGAGTCAGGATAACGCTTGAAGTACGCAATGAATGGAATAGATGTTATGAATACAGATGTTAATAGATGAATAGATGTTATGAATACATTTGATAACAGATGAATATATGTAATGACGGCATCGGAACATTTTAACGTTTTTGAGGAGAGTGGTTAATGGAAAATTTCTGTATTTACTGGCCGATCTTTCTGTAACTTCACACATATATACTGTATAGAACACTGTTAGGGATTGCAATAGGACTCCTGTAATTAATCGATTAGCGTTTTGAATCACCTTTGATGTGACCTCGTTTAGATGCGCTTGTATTTCTTCATTGTACCGGAATCCCACCTCAGATTTGCTTGTAGGAATTATGTCTAGTTATTCTTGTGATAATCATGTTTACATATATCCAGTGGTTTATAACGGCGACTATAAATATTATTACTTGTATCAATCTATTTCTTATTTTAGCCAAGTTTGCATTATATCATTATATTTGGATTTGTTAGTGTCCGTGATTTGTTTATTCGTTTTATTCGTGCATTTGTAGAAAGGCTCCGAAACGTTAGTCCAGAGTTAGGAGATGAGCCAAGGAAAAAACGGTTTATTTATCTGCATTATCGTATCCATCATTATTTTATTATTCTAATTATTCATTAAATGTTTGGGGGAACCGAAAGTTTTGTTTGCTTATTTATTGAATATTCCCCAACAACACTACCACAATAGCTTTTTATTTCTATGAATTTATGAGAAAATAAAGGAAAACGTCGAGAGTCATATCATTCGATTCGAATGCAAATATCTATCGACTCTAGAGGCAATTTTTTTCTAATTTTTTACAGTACTTTTTCCGTTCCCAACCCTCTCCCGAACTTCCTTTAGTTTTTCCAATATATAAACAAAACAATCGATCAAAAAGGCTTCTAGATTTGTTCATTGCGTGCCAGTTTAACGCGAATAATAATAATCTATAAATACAATTTTGCATGAAGGCATCTTTGTAGGAAATTGTTATAAAAGTTCAATTTATACAAATCAACAAAGGGAAAATGAAGGAATGATTTACCTGCGAGGGAAAACAAAGGAATGATTATATGCGAAGGAAAATAAAGGAATGATTACCTGCGAATGAAAGGAAAGAATGATTACCTGAGGGATAATAACGAAATGATTACCAGAGAAAATCCACTACTTTTCAACGAACGCCTGTAGAATCCAGAAATCTACGAACACAAACAAAGTACAGAAATCAAAACAAAGACTAGTAACAATTTAGTAACAAAATTGTTCGTCGGAAGCTTTATGAATAAAATTTTGCACAATGCTGCAACTAAAAAACTTTGCTTAGCAAAAGAATTGTTCCTCTGCTTTTAAATTCCTACAGAAACAAAATCTTTCCTGCCCTGCGCAATGGAAATATTTAATTTCTCTCACTATTGTTACCCAGATTTGAGATTTTCGGTAAGCTTTCCATTTATGCTGTATAATTGCGTATTCTTTGAAAACCATCAATTTGACGAAGGTCCGAGAGTTTATGATCGTTACACAAGACTCTAATGGTGGAAAATGTGGGCTATAAATAATGAAATCGTTGGAAAAATATGCGAAATGCAATTATTTACGCCCATTTGCGAGTTTTGTTTCGGCAGGAGCGGCTCACTTTCTGTGTGCCTACAGCCAGCGAAGCGGACGCTAAACTTATACTCTCCACTTTTGATATGCTGCTGCTGTATAATCACGTACAGGGGGGTTTGAGGTCAAAGTTTTCACTCGCGCCATTTTTCCCAGGAGCTCAACCGTTAGAATCTCATGAAAATTGGCACATACACGTACGCACATTTTTTCTACCAAACCTTCTTGTCGGATTTCCGAAATTCCCACTCCTTCCCCCCCCAAAATCCCCAAAAAAGGGGAAATTTGGTCAAAAAATTACCTAAAATGAGATTGTGGAAACGATCATAGCTCAAAAAGTTGCAAACTCAGAGCAATTCGATTCATTTCAAACGAAAGGTAAAGGATTGGAGTGTGTTTGGTATTTCGAACGATTTTTTGTCAGGTCAAAACTTCATCCCTAAATTGGGGGTCAAAGTTGACCCTGAAAAAATTGTTTTCGGCCATTTTTCGGTGGTTTTTCAACTCTCGCGGCCAAACCGTAAACATTTTTGCCATAGTAAAAGCGGGAAAAAGATGCGTCTTGTTGAGACAAACACACTGGTGAAAACGGATTTTGAAAAAGTTCAAAACTCACAAAGTTGTGAGCGAAACTTTGATCAAATTTGATCAACTTTTTACCAACTTTTTCACTTTTCTCTTCACAACTCTACGGAAAAGTTTTGTATATTTTTTCAACAACCCTAACAATAAAGAACAAGTCTTTGCCTTTAATTTGGACCCTGTTTCATGATCCTAGCTTTTATAGATATCGAAATATGATTTTTCAAAGTAGACAATAATTGACAAAATTTTCGTCCAACTCGCCGTGGTCCGGGCGCTGCTCTGAAC